AGATGGCCGATGCGGACGAGGAGGACTTCTTCCGTCCTGCCGATGGATCGCGCGCAGCTCAGGGCGCCAAGGCTGGTGATGAAGAGTACCAGGACGTGCCGGACCAGGCACGCGCGGTGGTGCGCTCGCACGAGCTGCAACACTGGGCACACGAGCGCGTGCTCGACTCGATCCGCCGCTTCTTCATCACGGGCGACGAGCCCGATGTCGAGGAGCGCAAGGACGGTTCACGCGTCGAAGCTGCCCCCGCCGCCGACGATGGTTCCGAATCCGAAGCTGAGGCTGAGGAGGGCGTTGAGGAAGATGATGCGGAAGATGCACGGGCCAAGGCGCTTGCGGCGAAGAAGGAGGCGCTCAAGCGCCGATTCGACGAGCAGTACGATGATCCCGACGCCGACACCAAGCAGGACTGGTACGACGAGCAGAAGGACGCCCTTGCCGCACAGGCTGCACTCAACAAGGCCGAGTTCGAAACGGTCGACGAGGACCTGCGTCACCAAGTGGTCGGCTATGCCCCTGGCGCATACGTTCGCATTGAGCTCAGTAAAGTCGCACACGAGCTGGTGGACCACTTTGACCCGGCCTACCCACTCCTCGTCGGCGGCCTGTTGGCGAGCGAGGAGAGTTTCGGCTTCATCCAGGTGCGCATCAAGCGACACCGATGGCACCAGAAGATCCTCAAGACCAACGATCCGCTCATCTTTTCCCTCGGCTGGCGAAGGTTCCAAAGCATCCCGGTGTACTCGCTCGACGATGGTACGCGCAATCGGATGCTCAAGTACACTCCGGAACACATGCACTGTCTTGCGTCGTTCTACGGGCCCATCTCGGCGCCCAATACGGGTTTCTGTGCGTTCAACACGCTTTCTACCAGTACGCCTTCGTTCCGCGTGTCGGCGACGGGAGTTGTACTCGATGTCGACGCGGGTTCTCAGAAGATTGTCAAGAAGTTGAAGCTCACGGGTACGCCGGCCAAGATCTACAAGAATACGGCGTTTGTGCGCGACATGTTCAGCTCTGCGCTTGAAGTGGCCAAGTTTGAAGGCGCGCACATCAAGACGGTATCTGGCATCCGCGGTCAGATCAAGAAGGCTCTGTCCAAGCCAGAGGGACAGTTTAGGGCGACTTTTGAGGACAAGATTCTGATGAGCGATATCATCTTCCTGCGCGCCTGGTACACTATACAGCCACGCAAGTTCTACAACCCGGTTACATCTCTGCTGCTCTCTGGCAATCGGGCATGGCAGGGGATGAGGTTGACAGGTGCGGTTCGAAAGGAGCGCCAACTCAAGGCACCCAACCACATCAACTCCTCCTACCGCGACATTGAACGGACCGAACGAAAGTTCAACCCGCTCAGAGTACCTAGGGCCTTGCAAGCCGAACTGCCGTTCAAGTCGAAGCCCAAGCAGATGAAGGCTACAGGGTCCAAGGGATATTTGGCAAAGAGGGCGGTGGTGTTGGAGGCAGACGAGAAAAAGGCGCTGGCATTGTTGCAACAGATGAAGACGGTCCAGAGGGAAAAGGAGCAGAAGCGCAAAAAGAAGAACCTCGAAAAGCGACAGGAGCGCATCAAAGTCGCCGAGAAGGACGACGAAATCAGGACGCAGAAACGCAAGGCAGAGATGAAGGAGATCTATCGTGTGCAGGGCATGAAGGCCCAAAGCGCTGCAAAGAGACAGAAGACCGCAAAGTAGCTCACACGCATACGCTGCACTTGACCTTCCGTCTTGCACCGCTCCAATTCACATCCTCACCATCCCAACAACCATCCGAATATGCCTCCCAAGCTGTGTGCATTGTGTAACCTGACTACGACACTGAGGATGATCGCGTGGAGTGGCTTCCAGCTATGACGGCAAGGCGCACACGGAGTCCCCTTTACTCCTTTCTAATCAAGCGTTCCACATCCCAGTAGCTTGCGTTGTCGTGATTGCTATCGTCTTCGGGGCGGCAAGGTGTCTTGCATTTGAATTTATTCGTATGGCCGTCGTGTGACATGGACGAGGTGGCCGACGGTGAGGAGCCGCAAAACGCAATTTCTGTTAGAGCCTCGCGCTGGTTTCGTAAGACATCCGATCCCGAAGGTCAGCGGCGCGTTTCCGATCCCGACGCACACCTGCATGCACAGAGCTGCCGACGTCCATATTGTTCTTGGGCCCACCTCGTATGGCACAAGCGCCAAACATCCGCAACCGGTGCCACGCTTTCGAAACTTCCGGACTCGTAGGCGAGGTGTTGGCGAGTCCAACAAGCCTGGCGCCACGCTCCGGTCCGGCTGTCGATCTGGACGCGGAGTGCACGTGAGACAGTGCATGCCCGCCTTAGCTGTGCACCGAATCTCGCCCGTACCAATCTGAGCTTTGTTTCGAACCGACCAGCAGCAGCCTCTCTTTCTTCTGCGCACTCCGATCATCCCATCCCGGCGCCGGGAGTCCGCCTTTTCTTCACCGCACCCCGAGCATCCATCCATTCAGCTATCCTCAGCCATCGGGAGCAGGCTCGCTGCGCACAAAGCGTTGTCGGGTTCGGGTCCTCTCCCTTGTCTTCCTCCTCTCTCCACTTCAGCACGGGCGCTTGGGCGAAGTCGGCTCGAATGCAGCTTTCCACTCCACACCGCTGATGAGCTAGGCCCAGCGCGCGCTCCCCACGCATTCCACCCAGACCGCTGGAATCCCACCCCCCGCCGAGCCGCCGTCGGCCAAGCTGCAAGACGGTCAGACCGGTGCCACGCCGAGACCAGACGCTCCGCAGCGTCTGAGCAAGCTTCATCCATGGAGCCGGCACGCACCAACCGCAAGGTGCTGCCCAACTACCTCCTCGAAGACTACATTCCTGTTCCTGACGCCAAGTCATCCGCGTCGTCGGTCGCGTCGGCCTCCCAAGCGCACGGCGATGCGCAGCAACACGGTGAACCCAGCGCACGCGGCGAGAATGGTGCTGCTTCTGCGACGCCGAGCGAAGCACCGGACGAGGCGCTAGGATTTCTGCCACGTCGCAAGAAGCTGCGCCAAGCGTGCGTCTATTGCCGCCGCTCTCATCTGGTGTGCGAAGAGAAGCGACCGTGCCATCGCTGTGTCAAGCGCGGCATTGCAGATCGGTGTGTCGACCCGCCACAGGACGGCAAGCTGGACGAGGGAGCGCTAGCCAACGGCAATGACAATGGCAACTCGGGCAAACAGAAGCCACAACACTTTTCGCCGGCGTCGTCCGCCAACGGAGAGGATGCAAACGAAGGCGCAGGTTCGACTCCAGACCGTGCGTCGGGAGCACAGCGGGGCAGTAAGCGGAAACGCAAGTCGCATCCACTCAAACCCAGCGTAGCTCCACCACCTTCAGAGAACGATGGAAAGGGCGATCAGCCCCCCTTCTCCATCAATCACGCCGCTGCGCCAGAGCAAGCGAACTTCATCGCGGCCAACGCCCGACATCATGTCGTGCCGTCCACGCTTGCTCCGGAGTCGGCAGGGGCGTACGCGGGTCTGCCCATCTCGATGCCTGTATCTGTGGCCGCACCAGCGCCAGCTCCAGCAACGGCCCCAGGGCGGAACGCGCCATCGCAGCTGCTACAGGGACAGCCGATCTTCCAACCGCCGTCGTCGGCCGAGCTCGACTCGCTCTTCTCGACGTACTTTTTCGATGTGGCCGATGCGTTCAATGCGCGTCCGGGAGCGCCGCATTCAGGAGCGCCGGGGCACCACGGAGCGCCTTCGACGACGGCGGGTGGGCATGCAATGTTTGGATCGCACCAGCAGGCGCATCCGCAGCATCACGTGCATGCCATGGCGAACGCGCATGCTCCGCATCCGGTGGAGTCCGGACTGCAGCCGACGCAGCTGCACTTTGATGCAGGTGTCGCAGGCGCGCACGACCCTCGAATGCAGAGGCATGCCGTGCCGGCAGGGGGCGGACACGGCGCGCATTATCAGCAGCCGCTTCCCTCGCGTCCTTCACACCATGACCAGGCACGGATGCCGGCGGGCGCCGAGGACAAGTCGATCTTGGACGCAGCGCCAAATCCAGTCCAAAGACATCG